TATCAACGGAATCTCTTAAATGGCGGCAAGGGCTTTTTACCTTTTGGAGTCAAAGTTTCACACGAGCCAACGGAAACAATTAGCAGTAAACTCTCCAAAGTGCAAGATAAATTTACCAAAGAGGAAGCAACTGGTGTGATTTATACGCTCTGTTGCCGGAACTGCAACAAATACTACGTGGGACAGACTGGAAGAAAGCTTGGCACATGGCTACACGAACACAGCCTAGTCATTCGTCGCCACGATCAGAATTCGTTAAAGTCAGTGTATATGGATGCTGAGAACCATCAATTCGACCTGGAGCACGTCAGCATCCTCGGAAGGACCAATATCCGGCAAGCACGTGAGTTCACTGAAGCCTGGCATTCAAAGCGGAACTCGATCACTAAGCACTTGGATATTGATGTTGCTTACGAGGCACTGCGAACCAGGCCTTTGAGGCTGCACTGTTGATATTGTCTAGTCAGGCAACGAAACGTCTGCCCAATAATTACTCAGCTCGGAGAACAGCTCAAAATCCGAAATGAACAAGGTCTGTACGCTTTTCTAGGCAGGTGCATTTGGTTGTCCTTTAGCGTTGGTCGACAGACAGTTCCTGTACATTCAGATAGTTTTTCGTTGTACAATTTCTGAACAAGAACTAACTGAAATTCATGTGGGGTATTCGATAGGCGAATAATATGTAATTAATACAAGAAAGATTGTAACAATCTGAACAAGGTTAAGCTGTTTGTTCATCAAGCGATCACATCCGTCTCCACAGCAGACATTTGCATTCGTGACCAAACCCAAGCGACTTAAAACTATCACGTGCGGAGGGCACATCACCTGCTGTATGTAGGCTAGCTTGTGGAAATTGGCTGTCACGTGACTGCACCCGAATACTTCAACCGACGTCTCAACTTATAATCCATCGTCGTGAGAACCCCGTCTCTAAAGTCATCAAATGGAATGTCATCGAAATCCCATCCGCACTCTGTACTCTTGCTTCGAGTTGCGCTCTCCGTTTTGCTTACTTTTCGATTTGCCTACATACGTGCTGTTGCATTCGTCTGACACTTAGTGTTACGCTGGTTGCAATGCATGTTAAACAGGAGTAAGAGCTTAATCCGTTCATAATAACTTGGCGTTAGCGGAGAGGGAACAACCAGTTGACTGGCTTCAACGCTGCAGGATTACCACGAGCACAAGCTGGGTGTTATTCACTCTTTATCCTCAAAGGCCGCATGAGAGGTATGGGCTGGAAGTTTTTGTTTAAACCAACTGAAACGACGCCTTGTTAATTCCTATTAAGTACAACGGATCTTTCGTTCTCTCTATTCATCATAGTTGTTGGCAGGACTCGTTTGAGCATTTATCACAACGCACTGAGTAACCCAGAATTGCTTTCGCTGATTGGCATTGTGGGCATCATCGGTTCGTTTCAGTTACTCTACTATAGTCTGGTCGCCGCATTGTAATGGGTTCGACTGGCAGAGAAAAAGCAACACCGTTGCATGGATTTTCTGACAGGTTGCGAAGACCTAAGTGTCTTTGGAAATAGAGCACCTCAAAATTTACGCCACTTATCACTGCGCATCGATCAACCCGACGTGTAGAGTCTAAATGGCGTCAATAAAGTCATCATATATAGTAGCCTAACGCTTCACTGTGATGCATTATCCATCTTATCATAATCGGGTTTATTGATTGTAGACGTTGTGTAGACCATGTTTAGACCAGGCCGTATATCCACAGCGAACAAGCTACGACTTGGAGTGATGGCATGAAAAAGCTGACCAAACAGTTGGTCTCAGTCGGTTGTTCTGGATTCTCTAATTGTGATTTCAGAGATACGGAGTGTCGCTGGTTGGAGACCCTGGAAGTCATAGCTCAAGATCGAGGTCACTGACGGACGTGTATTCCTGCTTGTTGCTGTGATTTCCTTTCCGTTCCCTACCAAAACAAACTAGTACAAGAAACTTGAAGACTCCGTGTGAAACTAGACAGAAAAGGTTGCATTTTCTTCTTGTTTTGATCCTGTTTTCCTATTCCGCCTTGATTTCGAGGGCACTATGTGGATCGTTATCCATGGAAGCCGTTTACAAGCCTTAAAGAGTGAGCAAAATGGTAGTTGTCATACGATACGCTAGGGGTTCATAGCTTAGTTAGCCCGATTATTGTGTTGGACCGGTCTCTTCTCTGTGGTGCTTTCGTAGTCCATTTGTTTGGCTTTCGTATGTTAAATGTGTCCGTCTATGTGCTCCAACTGTTCTTATAGGTCGTTCCAGCATTTGTATATTACGTCAGTGCCACCCGTGGTGAACCATTACTCAAGCTACCCATGCTTATCATGTTTTTACACAAATCCCACCTCTTTTTCACAGTAAAGCTTTATTGATACTCAAAACAATCATCATAATAGCTTAATCAATTATGTGCTGTCCGTCGTTGTTTGCAACTTGCTCCCAACTCTCGACCAGTTTGCCAATACCGTGCCACCAGAAATCGCCGGAAAAGCTAGGCCAGTCTTCTCATCGTTAAGATGGTAATTCGTCAGCCCGGGTTTCTTGTAAAAGGGTGGGTGTCTAAAAGCCTTACAATCGAGCTCTCGGAGGGCCGCTTGGACAATGCATACAACATGATGCCCACCATTGTCGTGAAGCAGAATGATTTGGCCTTGTCGGTCAGGTCTTTCTTTCTGCATCGTCCCATTTACACTGCGCAATCGGGCTATATAGAGGTTCCGGTCATCTTCTGTTTTTCCCTAGCTCATCTGCACACAAGACCACAGTCCCACCAATCGCATATCATAGTATTTTGAGGATGGGGATTTCGCCTAACGTTTAGCTTTGGTGCATTTCTTAAAGCCACTTCTTTTGTTTCACATTCACTTAGATACACCATTTCTCAGCCCCCCATGACAATTATGTACAAGAATCGTTTATTGTGGCCGCGTGTTGCTCTGTCTTGGGTAAAATGTTGAGCAGTCGATTGTCTTCGTTTTGAATAAGCTCTATGACACCCAAGTTTTGACTTTTTGAGTAAAACCCATTGATTTAGAATATCAGGAAGTCGTCATTGCATTGTTTTTCGTCTTCTCGGCCGGTGGCCGGAAGGATTGCGAGCCTGAGTCGTAATCCGGAGGTCGCCGGATCGAATCCGCGTAGGTGTGGGCAACCCCGCGGTACGCTCAGCCCACGCGCGACCGTGACAACGAAGTGTGCGCAGTGTGCCTGTGTACCACTGGTGATTTTTGACTTCCGCAGCCAATTCCCCGCACTTATAATGACCGTTCTTTTTCAACATCATTTTAAAATGGGCTTTGTCGAGCTCATTAGATCGCACCCAGCACAATACATGTCGCATTTTGCTCGGTGGCAATTTCAGGATTTTGTAAACCACATTAGAGCTGTCCTAACGCGGGTTATACCGTGAACGAAAAATCTTCCGAGTTGTTTCGGTTGCTCTTTGGTTACTACAAAACACGAACAAACGCAAGTGTCGAAAATAGGTTTTCTTTTTACATAGATTTTCCATTTAAATACCTGAATGAAAAGAGAACTTGAGTTATTCGGGAAAGTAGCAGCAATAACTTTTCCATATCCACTTTGCCAAATTTCAAAAGAATGGAATGCGAACAAACTAAGTGTAACAAACTATTGTACTCCTGCTTTGCTGCCCTGTGTGACTGCGACTGTCTGCCTGCTGAGTCACGCGCCCGTCCAACCTTGGGAATACAAATTTTCAGAACTCGGTAGACAGAGAGTATATCTACAGGATTGATCAATTATATTTATTGGTAAATGAAACATGATAACTTTGGATTTCGTCACTCACTCCTCTGCGTCTGGTTTTCAGCCAGTGTGAGTAAATTCCGCTCCACGGGTTTACCATACTGACGGAATAGTTCTATTCCTTTGACGCGGGCTTGTATTTGCTGGCCGATCAATACCGATTCGATTTCCAAATTCGGCGGAAAGATCAAAGCTCGTACCACGCCCATGCTGATGACCTTTGTATGTAGCAGACAGCCTACATGCTCCGCTTGCGTCTCTATTACAAACGCTGGGGGATTAATTTGTCTGCTAAAACCCTTGAATGCTGGGGTTTTGACACCGCACATTCGGCCAGGGCGTGGTACTTGGGTTAGCAGGTTCTTTTGCACTAGTCAAAGCTAGTTTCTGCGGAGTGTGCTCCGAAATCCGGGTCGACAGGTTTCTCTCAGTCCGGCACCTGGAAAACGAGTTATCAGACAAGTTCCGTTTCTTGGATATTGCCTTGAGGAGGCGGAGGAGGAGCTATAATGGCTCACTCATCAGATCGATGTATCATTATGAACCGAATTAGTCAGAGTGGTACCTAAACTCCAACAGCTGTTGTTCTGGGTACTACGGTGGTTGGTTCGTATCTGTTTTGTGAGAGCCTGACGGATCTGTTTGGAAGACTCGATTGACGCGGGACTACAGAGTCATGGCTAATGGTTATCTGGATACATTTATTGCTAACTATGGGAAAAGAATAGTGGGAAATAAAAGGTGCCATCGGATTAGTTCTCAATCGTGAGTGGGCTAACTGCTAAGCAGTGTTAATGACGACGTATGTGTCATCCGTCTACCGAGTATTAAGGTGCATAATCTCTGTATACGAACGTGGCTTGGTATTTTTCAGACGGCCCGTGAATTGAATACTTCACACTAACTGAATTCGGAACACCGTTGAAATGTTGTTTTTTCTTGCTCTTCATTATCGTTAGCTTCCTCGTTTCCCGCACAATTTTGCTACATAGTGCTCGTTGTACTTGTCTACCATCCTGTGCCATACTTGTACCGCTCTTGTGAGCTGTCCTCATGGCTATGAGTCTTGTTTCAGGCATTCTTTATATTGACCTCGGGAGCTTCATTTGGTAATACTCGCTCGCCCGCTACCGTTTGTCATAATGTAACATCGGACTTCTTTTAAATTGTTTGCTTCACCCGATTTCCTGTGGCTAAAAGTTTCTCTCTCACTCACTATCTCAGCGTGTGGAGGACAATTGGTCTCGGGGGAATTATCACCTCACTCGCATACCCTGCCGAAGTGACGTGACCAAGGGCGTGTACTGCCTCCAGTATGACAAAGAGAAGATCGTAAGTGGGCTGCGGGACGACACCATCAAAGTGTGGAGGCGGTTCGATGTCAACTCACCGCGGCCCACAATCACTCGAACTGCACAACCCGTTGTCCCGCGACCGTCATCCGCTGCACTTAACGTTTCTGTTGCAGCCGTCGGAAACAATGATCCCTGTCCTGGAGCAGACGAAGCCAGACCTGCAGTGGACCGCCCCGCGGACGAGGCTATGGAAGCCGTTGCCGTTGCCGGCGGCGAGGGTTTCGCAACGGATGTCGGAAGCGATGGTTACCACTGCACTCAGGTACTACTTTTGAGTTTGATCTCTTCAAACCGATTCGCATGTCCGGTTCGTGAGCTACTTGCTTAACAACGCATTACAGATGGTTTTACAAAATCGACCAGCCAACGTTACACTCGAGTCATGCACCTTAACCATTTGCCATAGTTGATTCGTTTCATTAACCTGAGAACAACTTTCGTATTCCAGGTTCTCGAAGGACATACAGGCTCAGTGTTGTGTTTGCAGTACATTGGCAATTTGCTAATCAGTGGTTCCAGTGACACCACAGTACGCCTTTGGGACTTATCCATGGGGCGTTGCTTGAATGTGATCAACCACCACGCCGAAGCTGTGTTGCATTTGCGCTTTCGTAACAACGTGCTTGTCACGTGTTCTAAGGTGAGTTTAATCGTCATTCTGTTTGGCCGGAACCCCTACATTTCTACAGTTGTTTGTTTGTCATTCAGAACTTTTTCGGAGAGACGATATCACACCGGCCAGTGCATCTATTTTCCGTAACCAACTTCCTCATCATTTAGTAACATTTTCTTGCTTCCATTACCTTCGACACGGTTTATTTTAAAATTATAAACGTCTATGAGTTCACGATATTTGCCACGTTTGACTTGTGGTATTAGTTTCATCAAGAGCGAAACTTTACCACCATTCCCATTCACACAAAATCAATTTGTACCCCAGGCCTGAATTTCCAGTCAGTTCCCAGTTTGCTTCGAGATATTTGATTTCCGAATTTATGATTCATCGACCTCAGCGTATTGTACATAGCTATCGGACGTATCCTGTGCTTGCTCACTAGTTAAATTCGTTTCAACTGAATTTAGTAATCTCTCTTCCTTCTTTCTATCATGACCTGAGTTGTCTTAGTCAGAGCACCAATGTGTCGCCATGATAATTCAGTGTTACTAAACATTATACTGTCTTTCCTTCATGGTTTCTCATTCTATACTGTTTCACAGTTTTTCATATATTTATTTTTTGTATTGCGCCACAACAGCTGTGGTATTTCCCACCTTTACCTAACGTGTGATGGTGATACTGCCACCACTGCTGCTGCTGCTGATGATGAGGATGAGGATGATGATGAGCATGATGATGAGCATGATGATGGTGATCATGATGATGAGCATGAGCATGATGATGGTGATCATGATGATCATGATCATGATCATGATGATCGTGAGGATGATGATGATGAGTTCAGCGACCATCTTTCGTCATCCAACCATTAGTTGTTGGATGTTGGCGGTTTTTGATGCTTTTAAGTCACGTTCTTCGCTCTAACTCTGTGGTTCTTAGTCTTTTTGCGGCTGTTACCCACAAATCAGCTTCACTACAAACAATTACCCCTCAAAAATTTATTTTTAATTGCTAGTTACTTATTAACTATTGCATTTTTTCTTTAACTTGCGAAACATTATTATTTTTACTTTCAATTAATCAGCAAGAAAACGCTCATTTTTGTGCAATGTATGACCAATCAATAGATCATATGCGTTAATAATAAGGTTGCTATTGATTAGTTCTAATAATTTCTATTATATTTGGGGAAGTTTCAGCCGATGCTCCAAGTTCATTCGGTCCTTTACTTTGGTGTGTGATCTCTGATCAAACACGACGATATATCAGTGGCTTTTCATTTGTTTCAACCATCCCTTCCAATTCCTTCCTGGGGGACAGCTTCCCGTTGCATTTCTGTATCGATACATTCTGAAAACTAATCATTTGATTTTTCCGTTCCACCTTGTGAACATTCGCTCGCTCCTTTTCCTGGTCAGCCGATCCATGCTCCTACCTTAGTGTCTACCCAACTCTGTAATTCGACCCCACGAACGACTGCCAGAATCCACAAAAACAACGATCGACAAACAAGCCGATAGATGCACCATCTAGGTGTGCTGCTTTACAGGCTTGTATTCGTGTTTTAGATAATAAAATTTATAGCGAAAGTTCTCTGCTTCACTAGCCACTCACTAATGATTAGTCAACCATGGCTAATAAGTGGTGGTTAAGTAGTTAGTTACGTATCTTGATACATAAGCTTTTGTTTTTAATTTTGTTTGGCAACAGATTATGACTCAATCCTCGTACTTATATTTACCCCCCCCCCCGTAAAATTTCAGTTTACCACCTTGGGGGTAGCTAATCCCAGGTTGAGAACCACTGCTCTAGCTTGATGGTGCTTTCTACACACACACACCGCCAGTGATTCCAAGCCTCGTGACGCATGTTCTCTTGTACTCCATCGGAGATTCAAGGCGTGATGCCCTCTGCTGATGTCACGAGGTCGTCTACGATCCACTATCAGTGGGTAAGCAAAACCCGCCTAGCTAGTACGTAATTGCGGAGACTTAGTTAGAGTACATGAGGCATCTTTTGACGTGAACTCTGATCTGCAGCACCTCATTGTTTCACCTTTTGTTATGTATCGCGTCTGTTTCGAACCTGGCTTCGTCTAATCACGCTACCTGTTTCCCTCCAGGACCGCAGCATTGCAGTATGGGACATGGGACCCTGGCCTCGTGATGTCCAGTTACGTCAAGTTCTTGTTGGTCATCGCGCCGCGGTGAATGTGGTTGACTTTGATGACAAATATATCGTCTCTGCCAGTGGTGACCGCACCATCAAGGTTTGTCAGTGCTCCGTTCATTTCACTGCGATCAATTGCGTTCGTTTCATTTCGCGCACACTTTCCTCCCCGAACTTTTCTCACCTTTGCCCCCCCCCGCTTGTCTGTCATATGTTTCTTGCTTCCCATCTATGGCATTAAATGCAGATTCAGCTGTCGAGCGTTCACATTTTATCCACAGAAGTCATACCATTGATGCTTAAATTAGGCTCTATCATTCACTGATCCTTTTGTGTCGCATTCCTTTGGAGGCAACGCCATCGTCATTCGCCAACGACACCTCCACTGTATATCATATGTGTGCATCGACTTCTATGCGCTGGTTAACGAATCATTTTCGCACTTCGAAAACTGATTTAAAATGAATTGATCCTGTTATGTCATACTTGAACTGCTCCGTTGACCCGTGGGGTTAGCACTTTTCCGTCCAATGTCTCGGAAGCTGTGTAGAAAATAATGGTCCGAGGAAAGCAAGTAAATTATTGCGCCTTTCAACCGTTATGCACTCCAGTCGAGCTGTCCCATGTCTTTTGAAAGTTTCGATCCACATTCTTTAGAAATCTTCGACCCAATCCACTACTTCAAATGTGATCATGTCTTTCGGTCTGTCGACTTCGGAAAACCCGGATTCCTCTCTGCACTGATGTCGTGTGCGCATTGTTTATGCGACTACTTCATGTTGGGGGGTTGTAACGGCTTGTGAAATTCTAATTGTACCTCTGCTGATGCGCTCTTCAAAGTGCTCGTTCGCTAGTTCAGGTTTACATGAGTTACCTTCATTCTTCAGAGCATGGACCCCATTGACTTAAAGTGCTCACATGTATCACACCACGTCTCTTTACCAGATCAAGGGGACAGTTATAATTAAATAAGCGTTTATTATCGGCAATGCGAGAGGCCAATCAAGGCATGTACGGCATTGCGTTCTGGTTGCTCGTGACCCGTCTCTGAACTATTCACTTCTCTTGTCAATGTCTAGTAACACTTGTCCGGTTTTCCGATTTCACTGAGTCGCGGTTCCCAACTCCATTCGTTATGATTACGCACTTTTGCCTTCCATGGTTTTTAACATAACTTGTCACATCTTGACTATAAAATATTTATCATCAACAGGACATCAGTACTTCCGATTAATGCTGACCGATGTCCGAAGGGATAAAGCAGCATCTGCCTGAGATCACCGGTTTAATGTTGCGTAGTTTCGAGCAGCTTTATGAAATCCCTAACCCAGACACGACTGATGGTAGCCGTGTAGCAGCGAAGCGTCGGTGCGACGTACTATTGCTGATACCTTTTTCACACTAAGGCTTCACTGCCACGCGAGTACAGGCAATTGTATAATGGCTTGGGACATTACCAGGGCAGAAACTGTTAATAGTAGTTGAAATTCCCTTTTTCTACTGGCTACATACTTTGCCGCGTTATTTAGTGGTATTCACCAGAGACCCGAATGCTCATGTTTCTACTCGAGTCAACGTCATATGAAAATCTCTACTCTGACTTTGCTCACAGGTTTGGTGCACTGATACCTGTGCATATGTCCGGACCCTTACTGGACACCGTCGAGGGATCGCCTGTTTGCAGTATCGTGATCGCCTTGTAGTGTCCGGAAGTTCAGACAACACCATCCGCATTTGGGACATAGAAACTGGTGTGTGCTTCCGGGTTCTGGAAGGCCACGAAGAATTAGTTCGCTGCATCCGCTTCGACTCCAAGCACATCGTCTCTGGGGCGTATGATGGGTGAGTCTCCCACTTTCCTTTCTTCGATTTCCGTTCGTGGATATGTGATGACCCAGGTGATTGCTTTCTGAAATTACTGTTGTGTATTACATTTGAATTGCCAAGTTCCACCTATCCGCACATTGCTTTTATTTGACTTGATGATTACTCAGCTTTCATCAGTTTTGCTTTGTTTTTCAGCAAAATTAAAGTCTGGAGCCTAAAGCACGCGTTGGATCCACGAGCGAAGCCCAGTCAGCTATGTATTCACACGCTTCAACAGCACACCGGTCGAGTGTTTCGCTTGCAGTTCGACGACTTCCAGATTGTTTCCTCTTCTCATGACGACACCATTTTGATATGGGATTTTGTTCGACCTTCTGCGGGAACGGAGGAACACGATGATGGGTTCGATGATGAAATCCACACTGCATTGGCATCACAAGCTCAGTGTCTTTGTCTGCCTGCCTCCAACTCACACGTCCAAACTTCACCGGGTCCTTCTAGCGCCCCTACTAGGGGACCAACAAATACCTCTAGTCATCCATCCCAGTCGACACCGTGTACTTCATTAATGCCCATCTTTCAGAATGTTACTTTGTCCTCTTATAATGCTTTGCACTCTGGTGCGGCGGCATGCGTTGAAATGGAAAATGAACCGACCGCGCCTAACGCTTCGTCCGCGTCCGGAACTATTCGCGTTACGACCAACACCAACAGAATTCGTCGTACCGGCAATTCAAACAACGCTACTGTGTCCGCCCGGCCCGCTACTCATGAGGGGAACGAACGATCAGCCGATACTCCCACTTGCAGCCACCATTCTTCGATGTCATTCCGGAACCTTTACTCCGATAGCTGACCAAGCACTAACTAGGAGGACCGAGTTTAAGATGTGGGAAACTTCGTTGTGCGCACTCAAAGTAGAAACGGGTTACCTCGAAGAATTCCGGTGTAAATGGCGGCGAGCATTTGTCATCCCTTAATGTGATCCGACACGCCTTCATCTGCAGTGAATCGTATATGTCGAAGGGAGGACCATGGACGCCACCTTCAGAGTACGTACGAAGCCGTAGTATACTTTCGCCAGAAGTTTCTTTCGTGTCCAATTTCGAACGCACAGGTTGTACCCTCTCTTCCTCTCCTGAACGTTTTTAACGGCGTCCTCTCAACGGCATCCATACCTTCTTTAGTCGGTGCAGCTTGTTGGTCCTGTGCTTCGGTTATCGTTGCTCGCCGATCGTTCTTATCGATTTGCAGCCATAGTTTATTGTTTACATCGGTGCCTGTTCCTAATGAGACCGTTTCTGTGGCGTAGCAGCGCACAGCGTTGTTTCCTTCATTCGACTCGGTTACGACTCACCCTATTTGTCTGTTTCTTTTCTTTTTCCAGTCCCCATTGCTTGTTGTCGTTGACTTTCTCCCCGCCATTCTGTCTTCTTCGGAAGATATTTTTTGGACACACATTCACACACACATTGCGGCGGGCCAAGTCCCCTTGTATATTCTGTCGCGTCAGCCTCTCATTAGACTGTGTTTATTTCCGTGCACACTTCTTCCGCCAGTTTTTCACTGCGTTACCATGTGATGGTTTTTCGGCCCAGACGAACTACTCAGGATACATGATGCTAAAGAGGAGAGGCGCGCCATTAGTTCCTGCCTGATATGACGAACTAATTGCGTGACATGTGCTATAGCTTTGTCATCCACCTCGACGTCGCCGTAGGTTTTGCGTTGTGTGCGTCCAGAGAGCCACCGGTTTTAACATTTTTTACAAATCTTATCGGATTGACGCATGATTCTGTCCCTCGGTTAAGATCTTTCGCTCAGATTGCGCAGCAGTACTCGTGCACTCATCGACTGTCCAGGCGAGGGCCAGGCGGCCAACTTCGCGTTTAACGAGACCACTTTACTTGTCCTGTGCCATACAGATGAATTCCCGTTAATAACAAGTAGGCCTTTTATTATGTAACCGCCGGTTTTCGCATTACAGATCCACAGTGCAGACCTGAGCAAAGACTTACTGCATGACCCGATATCTTTTCAGTCTACTCTCTGTCTGAATCCGTTTCCTCACATGCGTCCTCAGTAAGCTCGCACACTTTCAACTACGCTAAAATATGAACGGATGGAATTTTCAGCTCGACCAAGACATCACTTCTTGATTTCGCATGTCGCAGGTGACATCTTTCTGAGACCCACATCCCCTAGTGAATACAGCCGTGCCTGGAATGTGAGAGTCCATTCCCCTGTCTATCCTTCTGAAAGTGATCCGTTGATATTTCCGACAACTTTTCAACAAACACCATTGTTCGTTGCGTATAACGCGTGTGTCATCATTAGCGAGAGTTCATCACATTGGTGTCCCGAAAACAGGTTTTGACGCGGGTGCTTCTACTCACTCTCATGTACACCACGCGATAGGTTAATCGCTCTCACCATGTTGCTCCCAAAATCTGATGTTGATGTTGTCCGGTAACACTACTAGAGAACGGGTGAAATTTCATAATCCAACTAAGCTTTGTATTATGTTGGCTGGATCACACTGTCTAAGGCGCCACAAATCTTGTGACCCGACCTATCTACTCTCTGCCTCGGTCGGATAGACGACGGCAGTATAGAGACTTTTAGGCATTCTGGCTTTCCACCATTCCTGCGGATTGTTTGCAGGAGAACAGCGCTGTTTTGATGGGTGGTTTTTCTGAAATAGACACGAGAATTATTTGTCTTCGGCGCATTAGCATTGTTTATTTCTTTTTGGAATACAGGTATCTCCCCTTTGCTTAGATCGCTCGCAGCGTTGTTTCTATTGAACGCTTCTCTCAACAACAACAACCACCTTAATGGCGCGTAATTTATGCTTTATGTCGAACTTAACCCGATTCCGACTTCCCCTGTTGCGTGTTTCGGGTGTATTTTTAATGAACATGCTTAGTCACTTCCGCACTTTGCCTCGGCCATGTCGGCACCTTCCTGTGCAAACTCTATGATTGACACTCATCATGGCCATTACTCACTTGCTTTATTTTTACAACATAACATCAGGAGAACCCCCATCCTCTGGGACCTCTAATCGTTGCCCTAAGCAAGAGAAGCCAGAAGCGCCACCAGTTTTGTTTCAGTTTACCACCTCCACTAATTTCTGTCATGGGTTTGACTCCGGTCTCTTGCAGGCTTTTCGAAGCTTAAGTGACACTTCGGATAACTGTGAGAGGAAGATCGCTTTTAACCACCTTTTTATGTGAATTACAGTTCCCCGTCTGTCGCGCTGATCCGTCGGCTCCATTCTGATCGCTACTCATATTGTCATCCGTGACATCTGGGCGTTTGCTTGTGAAATCGATTTACCGTGTAGCGATCGTAGTGCTCTCATTCATCATCGCCACTGTTCGTTTCGTCCAATTTCGTGGGGCGCGGATCGGTTTACACGCCGCAAATACCTTTGTACGCCGTTGTTGTGGTTTCCTGTTCGCTCATGACGTTTCCGAGAACATTCTTCATGTTCAACTGCGTTACATGACTATTGCACTGGTGCAGACAATCCTTGTGACGGCCTGGAGGAATATAAACCGACATGTGGAGTTAACGCGCCTACGGCCACACACAGTCAGCTCCTTCGTAAACAGAAGACGTTTACAACGATAAATATTTCTTCGACTTACACTGGCAATAGCTGCGGCCCACAGGGTAACACTGACTGAGATTCTTGGTTGTACAACGCAATTTTAACTTATAATATAACGCCGCTTCGTTTCAATAGGTGATAAGGCTCTGGAAACCCTTTTACGTCCCACGGGTATGCGTTTCATTGGCTTTTCACCCTAGGGTGATGCAAATATACAGTTTAATCGACTGATCGGCCATCTTAGCAGCCTAGTCCACGTTTTACTGTCGGTTATTTGTTGAAACTTCATTCCGGACAAAGCGCCGCGGTCACATTCAGCCATCCTCACTGGGTATAAGTTTGAGAGAAAGGCAAATATTCTGGACGCATGACCCAACACAATACACTGTGGCCGGGATGTGTCTACTGATTGTCATGGACCCACCGTGAATTGCCGAGGAATTCTAACGGCCGTCCGGAGATCCAATCGGATCTCGCACGATACACTAAGCACCAAGCGCGGCGTCTGCGTACCGCAATTAACACAGCGCTTCACGCGATGAGGTGCAGACTAGGAATACTTGAACGATCGATACATTCTGGTCAGTGTTTGAGGACAGAATGTTTCGCGGAAAACTGGTTACCTGGGGGCTCTGTACTGACCGATGTTTAGCCGTAGCGCTGAAGGAACCGTTACGTACAGGGTCTACTGTGGTAAAAAAAAATGGACATGTGTTGGCGGACAAACTTATAAGTGGTGCACAAATGCTGCTATTTCACCACAACCGTGTTCCCATTAAAGTAGACAGACGGATGTGCCCGTAGTTGTAGCAAAGGTGACGTCAAAACACAGTTACGGTGGGCAAGCCAATAGCTGAAAACTATCTTCCAAAGAAGCAATGTAGGAAAAAAGCACCAGTTTCAACTAGACCTTTCACATTAGGAACAATAAGGATTTGGTAGTATTTCGCCTTCCTGTTAAGTGAGACAGGTTCTATCTGGAACTTCTCTTTCCTAATTAACCTACGATACCTAAGGGTTACCCGGTTGTTTCAGTTCAATTTAGTGCAGTTGATAAATCATGATCCGGGCACCAAAGTGTTGTGGATGCAGTTGTCACGAATCACGTCGCCAGAGTAGCAAAAATAAAGAATGATAAGTAAATGCGTTTGGAGTTAAATATGGTATTAGCAGAATGGAAGCAAGAACGAGGTGCATGAAGCTAATCACATTGAAGTATGAACAGCTACACGCAAGAGAACGAATCCAGGGGCAGCACTGATTCCGACAATGCGCCACGTCCGATAGAGTCTCTAACCATTGGTTTGGACTAGCACGAGACTCCCATCTACGAAGACGGCACGTACCTGCTTGACCAAGTCTCTCGGTCAATTTCAGAGTGAAACATGCGGAATTTACCATAGTTTTATCAGGGCATCATTATCATACATACTATTAATGACAGTAAAAATGTATTAATAGAAGAATGCAGTGAACCCCAATGTATCTGTTCTGTAATAGTGAGCAATCTGAGAGTGCGCAGTCGACCTCGCTTTTAAGGTTTCTACACTGAAATAGCTATGACAGGTTACCGGGTTGTTCTTGTATTTTTTCTATTAAAAACAGACGAAGGGTTTACAGAAACAAGCCGATTTCCCTCGAGCAATTGCAGCGGAATATTGTGAATGAATGCCACGCCATCACTACTGTGACATTGCAGAAAGTACTTGCTGACTGCATCAAGCGATTTCTGTACTGTAGTCAGAATACAGGTGGACACTTTTAACATTTTCCATGATATCTATGTCCGTCTAACCCTGCTTCTGTAAATATATGTAGCAAGAATCTATTGCACGCGAACTTAATTCTATGAGCATTGCCTGCTTCTTCAGTAGTCTGCGCCAGTTCGAACGCCGTGATAATTTGGGGGTATCGGATGCGTGGAATAGAGACAACATATTGGCGCCGTTTGCGCAAATGTTCTCCAATCCACACCGGAGCCATAAGTAAGAGATTATTTTGGGGGATCCGATACGTCGTTTATAGACAAATTGCTTATCGGTCATGGTGCTGTTACACACCGAGCTTCTTGCTTGTAGCAGAGGCCTCCATTTGGGTTCCGTGCAGCTTACCGATCCGTGTTAATGCGCCTAGTCTATGCAACATCGGTGGTCCATATTTTGCTCCGCCATGTCTACCTTTGTGGGTTGCTACCCAGATGACCGAGAGACTTGGTCAGGCAGGTACTTCAACATGGCAGTCGCTAATTTACTGTAAAACGGATGGACTTATCGTTTTTAACACATTAGTCATTCTCTCCGCACACATGATTCGGGTTGTTTATAATCAGGTATGCCATTATCAGGTCGCACTTAAGCAATTCGGAAAATGGAGATTTCGAATCGACCGAATGCCCGTCTCAGCAGTCCGAAGTGTTGATTACCAGTTTTCGATGCTTTTTCGGTTAACTGGTGTACGAAGTACATGACTTAACCAACCTTAGCGATTCAACTTCAACAGACACTGAAGTGAGGCACCGGAGAGATTCTTGTAAAAAAACAACTGATGGACCTCAACCTTGCTCACCTTGTGTTCCCACCAGATGTGTACAATACTGCATGAGACCCGATGATCATAGATGGTCAACCGTTTGATGTCTTCCGTACGGACTGGTCAAGTCTCAGATGCATACAGTAGCACCGGCCTTATCGCAGTTGTTCTCCGAAGTATAGCTTTGTCACACACTGGAACAACATCCACGAACGCAATATGAATCTACATTTAAGTTGGTCTTGCCACCAGATGATCTTCTAGATTTTGTTACCCCAACGCAGGAACTCAAGCACATCACTTTTACCAAGGAAGCTGTCCTGCAAAAGCTTACGTCTCTGCTCAACCACAGCTCCCCTGGTGTCGATATTACTCGCCCAGAAGCACTGGGAACAACGTCACGACAACTGGCAGAACCGTTGGCTCAGTCCTTTAGCGATATCACTTCATCCTGTACTGTCCAAAGTCACGGAGTCCATCATTGCCGATGCATTGGTGTGCTACCATTGCTCTCGAACAACATGGCTTTCGTCGTCAGCGATTATGCAAAACGCATTTACTGATAACCCGGAGTAGCGGGACCGAGTCAGGTGACGCTGGAGAAAACGTCCATGTGGTCTACTATGATTTCTCGAAGGCATTCGACCGCCTGGATCAACGGATTCTTCTCTCCAAGCTGCAGTATTATGGCATCAGTGACCCTCTTTTCACCTGAATTGACAACTTTCTCCTACAACGGCAGCTGGTGATTAGAGTTCGAAACTCGTTATCAGACCCCATACAAGTCGAATGTGGTATGCTTCAAGGCTATGTTC